AAACGGGAAAAAAATCTCTGGCTCCCAATCAGGAGCCGGCTCCCGTCGTTCACTTCAAAGAGCCGGCTCTTAGAGCCGGATCGTTCGCGACCGACCCATCACTACTATTGAAGCCAGATGATTACGAGATTTGACAGATTCACATGAGGCTGAAAGATGTGACTGAGGAGAGAAAGTAAACACGATTCAAGTCTCTGTGTGAATGGTATCCCTGGGTTTTACCTCTGGGGTGTATGTGTAATCTGTCCTTTTTATAGATGTTTACAATCTATCTAGCAAATATATTTACTTCTGTCTACTCTGTGCACATAAAATCTACTGCATGTCAGTTCCAACCTGGAAGAGGGATGCCTCCTCTGCTGCTCTTCCTGAGCTTTCCTTTATCCAAAACCAGGGTCTATAGGACAGAGGGTGTTGGATGCTGTACAGATTGTGAAGCCCTTTGAGGCAAATCTGTGGTCTATATAAATTAAATTGACTTGAAACATTTAAAAGCACACAAGGAAAAGCACAGTTGCTCAGTCTGTGAAAGCAGCATTATCTATAGAGTAGAAAAGCCTGCGCATTAGATAAACGTCTGAGTCAAAGAAATACAAAGCCTGCACGCACTGTGGGTCAAAACCAGGCCAACTACTGCAATTATCGCGAAGCCATTATATTGTAAACATAATTTAAAATTGAGTCTGCTGAGAAGTGATGAATAGTACAGTACGCTATAGTACACTGCTGTGTAGATCTACACAGCACAGCAAACTGTAGCTACTTCACACAAAACGTTGGGGAGACCCTAAATTGAAGCAGATTTCTCTTGCCATCAAAATCCTCAAAGGGAATCAGGCGTCTTTCATGCTTCCACTCCATCTGTCTGACCCAATTAGCTTTTTTAGGCAGGTGAGCAGAGGCGGGATCGAAGTGAAGAACCTCCGTTGACACCCAGCATGGTGGAGAGGGCGAAGTTTGACATGTTCTTTGACGACTTCTACACACTCTCAGGGCTGTCTGGATCTACACACTTTCATGCTTATGCGCACACACACACACACACACACACACACAAAGCAGGGCTCCTCTGTTGTTTCAGCCACCTGTCAACATCTATAGAATGAGTACAGCCATTGTCTCACCTCCTCTTTCTTTCTGTCTGCTCTTATTTTTTTATTCTTCTGCCAAAACTCTTCCTGCTCTTCAGGTGTTCATGAGTCCCCCTTTGCACTGAATATATTCAGGTAAGATGGGAGATGCCACTGGAGCAGCCAATCAGAAACTTAAAGTGTTCTGAAATGCAATCAATGAACAGCCAGGCATGGTAGCGTGTAGTCAGAGCCAGTAATAATTCTCTATTTCAGCAGCAGATAAAATAACGGTAGGAAATCAATGGTGTCTAAATTTGACGGACCCATTTCGAAATAAGTACACAGCATATTGAAACTCTGCGCGGCTTTCATTTCCACTGGAAAATCACGCTCCATCTGAGTGTGTGTGTGTGTGTGTGTGTGTGCAGAATACTTTATTGTACATCATCATTCATCCTACCTGTCATAGTCTCCATTGCAGAGCGCTCTGACAGGGATGGAGAAGGGCTGCCACACAGGGTTCAGTGTGTTCTTCACCACCTCAGTCTTGTGGCAGATGGTGAACCTGTACATGCAGGTCGACAGGGGTTTAAAATCCTAAAAGACACATCTCTAAGGAAAAAATGATAAAATCTTCCTACTACACTTTGCTTCGAGAGCATGTCTGCATGAATTTATCTTTATACCGCTGAGTTCAAGAGATCTCGATCTAATTCTCTCGACCTTGGTTCCCTTCCTCTTTGATGTCCCCGCCCTCCTACCTGTCTTTGATAAGCTGAAATGAAAAACCCACCGAGAAGCAGAAGCAAGACTCACGTGCCATCCTCATTGCTTCTGTAGAAGACCATGAAGGGGTCAGACTTTCCAAAGAAGTCCTTTTTATCCAGTTTGTTGGCACAGAATTGCATGGTGGCGTAATCCTAAAGACAGAGGAAAACACAGAGTCAAATAAGTGAAAAGACAAAAAAGTAAAGGACATTGTAAATCCATGCACCTGCCCCTTTTTGTCTCTTATTTGTTTATACATGTTGTGTGCCAAGATATAAAAGCACTGAAGCACCAAATAAAAGCAAAGTGCTGACTGAATCCTAATAAGAGCAGAGCGAAAGCAGCCAGTGGGCTCTAGTTTTCAAAACCTGCAAATGCATTCATTACCATTTCTTTATTATGCAACTCCTGCATGACAACAGTGGATGGGATAAGGGATATCAAATTGAAAATACCTTGTTGTGCTGAATGTAATCATAGTAACAGTATGAGAGACCATGCAGAGGCACAGAAATGGATTCTAAAACCCTGCACATGGAGGAGGGAGGGCTGTGTACAAAAAGGATGTGGAGGGTGTGAGTGCAGCTAATGATACATTAGAAAGGCTGGTATTACCATAATTATACTCATTTAGGCAGCATTTCAATGTGCGCTGCCATTACAAGGACAATGAAATGCCCCATAATGCTCTTGGTTCCAGATATTCTCCCTGTGGTCAAGGTATTAGTCTGCATTGTATAATGATAATGAGGCTGCACATTGGGCACAGACTGGACAGGTAAATGTCCACATCAGAAGAAACTTTGCAAAGTGTTAGCTGACGGCCTTAATCTCTGTGCTCTTTCTTCAAATCCTTGAGTCTTGCAACATACTGCATACGTAAGTGTCTAATCATCATATCTTGAAGAGTGAGATGAGATCTGATACCAGAAGACATTCAGTGCCTTCAACTAGCAAAAAGAAGCACTGTTTTCACCCTGCTGCTCTCCCGGGCTTTTAGGTTTTGAAGTGTAGCTATTAGATCTGAATCAGCATGGTGCTGGGCAGGCCCTCCATCGACTGCTTTGACCCACATCAGTGTGGTGCCCCCTGCCTCTGACCAATCTCTCACTAACCCCCATCACATCACTTTATCCCTCGGACACATCCAAGATACAGAGCAGTCGCTGTCTCTGAGGCAACCACTGAGAGAAAGATGAATGCCGCTAAATAAATATATAGTAAAAAAACTATATAGGAGTATTCTCCTAAACATTGAGCTAATTTGATTATCGTTGTTGTTTCCTATCAAAGACAGAGCTGATTAAAACAGTCAGTGCTGGCTAAATGAAGCAGGGGTGTTGTATATCTACTCAATTTTCATTCCCTACTGTCATTTTCAGTTATTATCTGTGTTTCTACCACTTCTACAATACAGATAGAGAGCACGTTAGTGGAAGATTGCCTTTTTCCAATTTGTGTAGTTGGATGCGGAACAGCCAAGTTATAGAGCCATCCTCTGTGCAGTTTGTACCTGAAGTGTGTCAAGCTCTCCCTTGATGGCTTTTAACAAGACCATCTAATTTTCCAAGTTCCCATTGTGGCTCGTTTTGTGGATTTAAAAAAAAAAACTAAACACATTATCTTAGAGGAGTTTGCTTAGGTCAGTTTATCCAAGCCCTTAAAAATAGAGGCATCTCGTAACTGTCCTGCTTCGCCCTGACATGGCCTCTACAATTACACTATCATGGCAACACAGTGACTTAAGCTTTCATTAAGCACAGATAACACATACCCACTTTGGTGCCTCGCAGTGTTCTCTCATTACATGGGGAAAAAAGGCAGAACATTCATTTCAGCCGCTGAGCTTTAAGAGCAGCAGGGGAATACTGAGTGCAGTCTGCATCCTTCTTCCCATTTCTCTGCACTACCAAGATATCGCTGCATGGGGTAAGTGGCGGAGCAATGCACACTGTCACTTTTGGAAAGTGGGACTGGTCTTTCAAAGGAATACAAAGCAGTGTAGACAATACCTGAATTCATGTTACACCAGCTTATGACGTCCTGAGGATTGCACACTGTAGTGAATCACCAAATGAATCATGAGCCAGAGGATGGTATGAATCAGAAATTTACTTAGTTCCTTTGTATGCTTCATGCATCACTAGATTCAAGTGTTTGTTTATTATGACTATAAGCCTCAGGTGAAGGATTTTTGTCAACGTGAAGAACAGTTTTATAAAGAAAATAAAAAAGATAGTAACAAAGCTCAATTCCATTATGACTACAGTGATGAACTGAAGAATACTTTCTTGAGGGAAATCCGTCATACAGTCCTAAAAGTCAATGGTAATTGGGCTTATTGGTCAGTATAGGAATGGGGGGCTATGATCTGAGCAAATAAAAAACCTCTCTGTCGTTTACTGCTGTCACATGTAAAGTGTTTGTAAAGTTTACTTCAATTTAAATCAGCCAGAGCTGCGGCTGGACTGTGAGAAGGATCTAAGGGAGAGCGAGCCGTTGCTCAGCATGTCATACGTGCCAGAGATAATGACAGCCAAGAGGAAGCCTTTGATCCATGCAGAGGCTGTTGCTCTGTTTAATGATACCTGGCAAATCCTCCACGAAGGTGAGAGCCAACCCGCCTCTTGGTTAACAGTCCATGCAGAACTTCCCCAGTCAATTCCCACTCTGTTGGTTTCAGTTTCCCCAAACAAGAGATGCAGTGTTTACCTCAGGCGAAGCAGCAACTCTGCTGCTTCCATTTATTGGTCACAGGTGGATTATAGAATAAACACCATCCAGATGGATGGTAGAAATTCCAAACTGCTATAATTCACAGGTGTGGGACAGAACAGACAGCAGGATCTACAGACTATTCAACTATAATGCGCCTTTTCTCTGTTTCCTGTTTTTTACACAAACTTGGGTCACACTCTGTGTAAACAGGGCAGGTCTGGTGTGACATGTCAAGTCTGTGTCTATCTAATTAAGTCTGGGAGAAAGGAAATGGTCATTTGTACCAGGGATGATCATTTGCATTTATATTACAAAATCGCTTCTTGAAGTGGTGCTTTGCAGTGATTATGCTATCTCCTATCATTGCAGATCCAATGTACCTGATGACTCACAGCAGCCCTTCAATGACTGTGAGCACTGACACCTCAATCCAGCAAGGACCAAATCAGTAATGCTTATCATGGCAGTTTTATTATCAGTATGGCTTATCTGTCTCACTCTCACCAGAGACTGTTTATTTGTCAGGAAATGAATTACGCTATTAGTAAAATGTAAACCAGCAACCTCAAAGTCAGGTACAACTACTGTTAAAGCAGGTGTTTTTTACTCAATATGTATGACTGGAAGTTAAAAAGTTTAGAATAATTAGATGCTTACATGCATTGAGACATCATAAAACATTTACATTACAGTTGCAGCTCAATGGCTTGCTTTATAGCCTCCGAGGGAGGCCAGTTGTTCTGGCCAATAAGTCTTTACTTTCTTCTGCTCCACTGGCAGCGATATAATGTGATTATTTACTATCTTCATTTAGCAGTGCAGAGGGAAAGCCAATGGGCATTAGTGGACAAACTCATGGATTAACACACCACACATCGATAGAAACGCCTGTTTCAGTGATTGGACTGAAGGCGGGCTCATTAAATATCCATTCAAACTCATAGTATATTCACTATGTACACAATTTCCAAATGACAAACAGTTTCATAGTGACATGGCTATCCTGCTTGTTTAATAGGGGACAGTAATGACATAATATATCTTACTGAAGGCTATTAAACATCCCACTTCACTTTAGCAGGCTTGTGAACATTGCTAAACGTGCATTATGTGACTTAAACAACATGCACCATTTCCCCACACTGTCACATACAATTTCACAGTGACATGCCATAATCTATCAGCTACACTGAGTATGTAAAATTAAACTCTAATGTACCGTTGTTAAACAGCCCTTTTCAAATCAGATCAGTGAACATTGCAAAACATTTATTATGAAACAAAGTAAAAGATATACTGGTTAAATCCTTTTAGACTTACTCTGCAGTTTCCCAGCTCCTCAGCAGACAAGACAATGGTTCCACATTTCTTCCCAGGTATGCCACTGTGAAAACAAATAGATATGAGTCACTCTTACTGAAATGGAGTCAAGCTCCACACACTGGAGATAGAAAATTGTTATCTAGTTATTTTAGCAGTAGCTTTAAACAATATTGATGAGTCAAGTTATCTTTTGAAGGAGGTACACCTCCTCTCCTGTATGCTATTCCCACCAGAAAGCACACACAGAAACTTAAATAATAATAACTAGAAAGATTCATAAGGCTTTTCTGCAGTCACATTTTTCATTTCCGGCTGTATAATACAGCCGTATTTTTACATAAAATTACAGCTTTAATCCAATAATAAATTACAGAATGGCAAAGTGACATTAGACTGACAGTTTGACAGCTCTAATGAGCACATTATTTTGCTTCACCATTGTAACTGAATCCAAAGCAAGTTATAAATACTGACTCTTGAGGTTTTTAGTACAATGTGGAATAAAACTGCTGAGACACAAAACTCCTCTGATCTCTTTTTGCCAGCACCGCACTGAGACTTTAAAGCTCTGCAGGTCTGCAGTTGTTTACCGCTGATTCCCGCTCCAGCAGATGATCAAGACATATCCTAGGACACAAGAGGTTCCCTCCGTGTCTGTGTTTCTATACATCACCCCTTCAGTAGCTTGCCAATCCAATGGCACAAACAAAAATAGAGACATTGCTCCAGAATTTGTCCTAAACGTTATTTGGCAGTATGTTTTGAAGCAGTACAAAATGAGCTTTTTTTATATCGAATCTCACCAACTCTCAGCATCCAATGAAGCTGTGAGAAAAAGTCACAGCCCATTCCACCCAACTCAGAGCAAGAGAGCATATCTACTTTCCAATCAAACAGTAGCACTCCAGCTGCGGACACTCCTGTCATCTTTCCGGATAAAGGAGGAAATTACACGAGAGCCCTGCTGGGGCCTTAGCTGGAGGACAATCATTAGAAGGTCAGACTTGCTGCAGATCCTCATCAAGCTGTGACAGTTGATCTGACTGGCAGTAATACTGGACTCCATACTGCTAAATGGGAGTCAGTTGACTACAGCAACAGAAGTTTGCATTATTTACAAAGATGATCTAAAGCATAAACCTGCGATGGTACTGGGGGATGTCAGGGGACCTATTAAGAGATCAAGTGTGGTTTCCTCTTTCTTATCTGCATGTGCAGGAATTATTTGTAGTGATTTAAAGAGATATGGTACAGGGTGCTTCCATTAACCTCTACTGGCCTCTATCAGATTTCCAAGACCCACAATGCACGCAGTAATGCTCTACAAAAGCAACTGTAGCCCCTGATGTGTCTGAACTTTGATCAATAGCTCAATATAATCTACTGACCAAAAGCATCCGACTGTAAATGCTGCATATCCACCACTGTGTGCAAGAGAACTGTCACAGTCCCAACATTTAATGAGGCAAAATGTAAAATGAAGACATCACACTCTGAGAGGGCAGGCACACTTCATTCTCTGGCTCTATCTTCAAGCTCCATGGAGACCAATCTCAAGGTGAATTAACTGTCCTTGAATAATTTATGTTTCACGTCAAGTCACCACCATGCAGTTTGATGACTCCTCAAAGTGACAGTAAACCCCTTACCAATGAACCCAGTAAACCCTGCAAACTCCACAGGTCAAGTTATCTCCCTCAGGTCATGATAATGACCAACACTCCTTTCAAACTGGGAAATGGGAACTGACTATTGGTAAAATATCAGCTCCAGACACGTTAAGATGCACCACACTGCTCTAATCTGTGCTACTGAGACGAGAGCAGGTACCAAAAGGGCAATGGTCTTTTAAATGAGGCATGCATTATTGAGTGTGGCCTTTTCTCTGACAATGACTAGTTAACTTGATGAGCAAATAGGCACTGAATTGATAAATACAGTTCCTGTCATTTATCTGTGGTACATAATATCATTTTTATTGCGCAGACTGGCAGTTTTTGTACTGAAATGTGACTGCTGGTGATATGAAGTGTGTCCGGCATCATTTGCTCAGGACTCATTCACTTAGGGTTTCTCAGAGGGAAATCGCTTTGATGATGAAATTATGTGAAATGCGCTGCTGTGGTCCTCCTTGCTGTAGTATCTGCAATGAACAAGGCCTACAGTCTGACTGCTATGAGACTGACGTGCTTTAATCAGCTGGACATGTAAATGTGTGTCATATTTGTCTCCACTGATTCTGCAAACATTTCAATATTCAAATTACTACAGTCAAACACCATCAGGGTACTTTGTGATGTTTAACAGTCTATAGCTATTCATATTCCAATAATGAATCGTAAGGTGTGTTTCAATAATCGTTTGTCATACTCTCCTTTACTTCCCCTCTGCACCTGATATTGTGTAGCATCACTTAATGAGCGAGGTAGCAGGGTCAGAGGAGAGCAGACCCTCATCTGCAGACAAAGTCCTCAAATACTAACGATGAAACAGGAAAGAGCCGTTCGCTTGGCGGTCTGTGCATTGCAGTTAATGCGTCTCACGTACCAATTCAATGTCAATGAGGAGATATTTTCAGAAAATTATTGCAATATGTGATCAACTCAGCGTGATAAGATAAACTGAGTAATGCTAAAAAGTGTATTACAGTCATACTTTTCTGAACCAAGTTGTGTTAAATCAGAAACAAAGATAGAATGTAAATATCGGGCTGTCACAATATCAGATTTTCATGATAACAAATGATCTCAATAGCTATAGAATATATATAACAATATATATAACAGTCAAATCATCTTCAACTTTGAGTGTGTTTTTGTTTCAATTTGGAAAATGAGTTACACTCAGTTGTAGCGCTAGCAACCAACATACAAGTGCATTAACATAGGCGCCACCCACTATGTTGGATTTTGAACCACAAAGCTGAAACGGAAAAAAAAAGGAAATTATTTAAAAGGCGCTGAACTATTTATACAATATGTGTACTATTAACACAATATCAATATTTCATATTATAATTATTAATATTTCAAGTCCCCTTCAGAGTATATATGAAGGCTTGTTAAACCTATTAAACTATTTAAATGCATTGCTTATGTTTTTCGTAACTCCCTGACCTTTCCTCTGTTCCCACTAAAAGCAAGAAGTTTGACTTATACACAAAAATTTTAAAGTCAAACAGACATATTGCATGATATTTACCAAACAAATTCCCAGAGGAGGATCCCTTTCCATTTAGGATTACCTTGTACTTTCTTCAGTTGTCACCTTTAGTCAATAAGATTAACAATGGCAGATTTTTAGCCACACTACCAGGAAGGCTGCAATATCAAAAGCCTTGGTATACTGTACATTTCATACTGTACCAGGGATACAAGGTCTCTATTCAATTATTAACAACAAAGGACTTAACCTACCAGTAGATAAACTTTCTTTGCATGATGCCAATCATAAGTGTAACAACTGTCTAACAACTTTCAGTGCCAAAGTAAAATATAAGAACATTTAAATTGTATGTGATTCATTAGAAAGGTCCCAATTAAAAAGTTTAGTTTAAGGATGCAGCCCCCTCCCTTCTCCACTCAGGCCTGAGGGCGGTTGTTCATGCTGAATGACAGCCGTAACAAATAAAGTTTATTTAAAGAATAGAAATTAAAGCACTAAGGCCATTCTATTACTGAATTTCTTTAGTATTTAATGAAACTCACAATTAAAAGGAACAATAGCAAAGAATGGATTATTTTGTAGAAGCAAAAATGACATCTAAATTTAGTAAGTGAAGTGCAGACATTTGTATAGAGATTTGATGAGGTGGTCTTGTTCAGAGAAGACTGATGACAGCCTGTAATCATCCACGGCGTCCACACTTCAAGAAAGTGATTAATATGACATAATAAAAGAATTAAGCCTTCCAGCATTTCAGCAATGCAGGTGAGTAGTGACTGCACTAACCACATGCTGAGCAGCTATGATACTTAACACCATTCACAATTCTCTTTAATTCATACAGTCACTTACAGGCTTCCCTTAGCACTCAACAGACACTGCGCCATATGGTCCTGACCAACCCACTGCCTGTCCATGATGTGTATTGGTGTTGTCGGAAATCCTCACAGCGCTTCATATTTACAGTCATATTAGCATCATGTCAGTGAGGCTACCTCCTCTGCTGTTCCTCCACTTCAACAGAAACCCAGGATCAAACAGAACTTCATAAAGGAAACAAACAAATAGAGACAGAAATGAAAGAGGGGCTTGTAGCCGAGTGGCTTACTAATCTCAGAAGGAAATGGAAGGAAGAGGTGCAGTCATGCTTTTAGCTCACACTGAAACAAAGAGTTAGCCACAGCTGTCCTGACAGATCCCCTGTTTGATCAGCTGAATAGAAAGAGATCAAGCAGCATATTTCAACATCACTACTATTATTTGGCCAAAGTTTGTGATACTGCGGTTCTGCTGAATACCGATGAGAATACTGGGTCTATCTCTTTTCCGAGAGAGAACACAGTCACGCCATTTATTCCTCAAAAACAAGCATCTAAAATCATTGTGCATGACATATTATATTATGGATATTCAGGCTCAATGTATGGCCTCTATAATTTCCCATCTAGAGGCAGTTGCTGTCGTGAAATGGTGATTCACAGTGCCTGTATTCTCCATTACCTATCAGTGCGGAGGTGGGGTGGATGGTGGTTGGTGAGATTAAAGTCCGAAGACGGAGAAGGAAGCAATTGTTGATGCCGTTCACATTAGGTCATTAGGATGAGGAATGGTCTTGATATTTAACAACGCTGCAACGCGTCACGCATATGAGAGTGGGGGAGGGTTATCTGCTCAACGATATGAGTGAGAGCCAAAGAAAGAGGAAAATCTTTTTTTCACACTGCAGCTGTTGCAGGGTGGGTCCACATATTCCTAGACAAGACAAAATGACTGCAGTGTGTTCATGCTAAGAAGATTTTTACTTTGCAATTTCACACCTAGGGATAAGCAAATTAAAAAATATTATCTGGGAAGGTGGAGTGCAATAAGACAAGAAATAGGATCGTTTTCACGGCACAGTGAGCTTGCCCAGGTTGGTGAATCCAACGAATCTCTCTGGTTGACGAGGGGATATGGGTAAATGAATCTAACTGGTTTTAGTTGAGTCAAAGACCAACAGAGATGGAGGACAGACAGAATCTGGCTTTGTGCCACTGTAAACGTTTGGGGCAGTGGGCAGATCATAGTTGAACAGAATTAGACAAGGTTGACAAAACTGTATGTGGGTTCAAATGGGATTATAGCCCTAATCCCCTTGATCTTCATACACCGATAAGCATCCCTAATCCCTCACCTCACTTGGATTAAAATAAAGGATGAAAAGTGCACTGGCTAATTCAAAAGGACACCAGAATACCTGAGTTTAGTTCTCAGAGAGGAAAAAGAGAGCTCCGAGTGTTTGTTTGTAAAGCAGGTAGCTACAGGCAACCTTTGCTAAGCTCTTTGAAGCTTTGTTAGAATGAGCACAAAGCAAGTAAATAGGGCAAAAATGGGGTGCAGAAAATGTCAGATGGATACACAAAACAACCAGGAGTAAAGAATGTGTTTACAAGTGGAAACTAAGTGCAAAGGCGTGTGAAACCACATTGTCACCAACATGTCATCCCTCTGTCATTTTTTCGGCATGCACAATCTTAATGAATGAAAATAATCCTGTTACTTATGGGAATTCTGTCAGGGCTCAGGTGGTGGAGCGGGTTGTTTACTGAATAAAAGGTTGGCAGTTTGATACCCACCTCCTACTGTTCAAATGTCGAACTTCTCCTTGAACCCCAGGGTGCTCCCCAGCACTTGGGATGCACAAGCCAGTTCATTCCTAATTGCCGGTGCCAAACCCGGTTAATTAGGGAGGGTCGCATTAAGAAGGGTATCCGGCGTAAAAAGCCTACGCGAACAGTTACCAATGGTCACTGTGACAAAGCCGAGAGAGGATTTATAGGAATTCTGTTCACTGTCATATATTCCCGTAGTTATGAACACTAAGTATATGAAATACCATTGATGTAATGAGACCATTGTTGAGGTTTTGATTACATAAATTATGGCACACGCTTTAATAACTATAACAGTGTTTGACTTACTGTGTTTCTAAGTGAATGAGGCATTCATCAACCACCTGCAAGCTAAAAACTGCTTGTTTTGACAGAGAAAGAGGGGATTAGGAAAAGCTGTCAATCAGAAAGAAACTTTCCCTCTCAGTCTATAGGCAAAAACTACTCAAAGTCATGACAGCGTTCTCTTCCTTCCCTGTGTTCTCTCCTGCCAACAAGAAAAACCCTTCTCTAGAGGACATAACAAGCCCATTTCAATTCCCCCCGGCAAGAACAGAACATCCCTCTCTATCAGAGGCCAAAAGAGATGCCCAGTTCTCTTTGTTATTCAACGTATGATGTTACGTCGCATTTTATCCCACTTTTCCCACTCGACACCGACATCAAACCACACCTGATCCGCCTCTCCCTCATCCTCGCTGTTTCACGAGGCCGCAGCACCTTTAGCCCCTTCACCTGGGGCCGGGCAGCGAGTAATGGAATTCATATCATGTTATGCTGGGTTGCCCTGACCTCCTCTGTGGTGGTTACTGCTGACTATAGATTGCAATCTGTGTGGCGACAGATTGTTTTCGTCTGCTGAATAGATTAACAACATGGAAGTGTTAAACTGGGGCAGCAGAGCACTCGTTCAGAGGCTTTCGGGGTGCTTTCTCACCTTCCCAGCAGATGACAGCGCATGGCCGTGACAGAAATTAACACTGTCTGCTCTGAGTGCAAAACAAATCAGCTAAGCTTATCCGCACAGTAAAAACCTCCGTTGCCCTTGCCTGCTCTTGCACCTGAGGCCTCCATTATTAGTGTGAAGATAAAAATCTATCACCTTATTATCAACAGAGCTTTAAAAGACCTTTAACCACCACAGTATATAATAAATGAACTGTTTCTTTTTATGGCAAAAAAAGGGGGATACTTTTAAAGCTTGTGTGACGGCAAAGTCCTTGAAGAGTCATAAGCAGAGCAATTCAACTGAACGTGGGAAGGCCATTTGAAAAACAGAGCCGTGCTGCTGAGGAGGGAGGCTTATGAAACCAAAATGGTACCCAATAAATGCCTGTTTCATCGGACAAACAGGGTTCTTGTACAATCAGCACAGTTGGTGTTTTCCACACCTAAGCAGGAATACACATTATTAGAGAGGGACCTCTTGTTAGTACTCAGCCTTGGAGCCCAAATTGGCATTTAGCGAGCCAGCAGAATGCTCTAATTGTGTGTGATGTCCCGAGGCAGAGGATGCTGATTACTGTAAGCCGTCTAAAACACTTCACCTCCCAGTTAAGTAATACAGGCAAAAAAACATAGTACCTGCCTCCCTCTCTTCATTTACAGTAACAGGAGAACTCAGATTAAGGATTTTCATTTTTACCCCCAAAAAGAACATCTCCCCCTTCTTGCTCATTATTTAAATCTACAGCATAAGTTTGGCGAGTTTCATCACGGAGGAACTGCGGCTGTGTAGCCCGGAGTCAGTCAGCCAACTACATTAACCAACAACTTTCAAAGAACGGTCTCTGAAGTAAAGATGAGACGACTGATGCCCACTACTTCAGTTTTCTCTGAGTAAACTTCTGGTGAGTCATGCAGCTCAGACATTTTAAAGATGTACCTGACCTTTTTATATACATTTTGATGGTGAGTCAAGAGAGTTTAGATCAAAAACATGAGAGCAACAGTGTCAGGAATGGACAAAGAGTTAAGTTATGCAGCCATCACATTTATATTCAAGACCCCTTTTCCAGGATTCTCATTTTAAAACATGTAAGCTGCCAGCTAACTCAGCTAACATTTGATTAATTAAACCGCTAGCTGCAGCTCATCAAATTAGAGAGCATCAGTTGTAGTTTTATAAGCTGGAACAACAGGAAACTGTGTAAAATCAAGCACCATTGTTTAAAAATAACAATGAATTTCAATGGTGAATCACCATAATTGTCACTGTTAAGAGTAACTAAGGTGAGGTTAAGCAAAGGGTCACTTACAAACTACTAATCATTGCTGTTTCTTATTGTTGTCTTACAGTAAAAAAATATTATTTATTTTATCTACTGATGGACTGTGAGCAGCAGAAACACAGAGACAACTACATTACGGGTTGGTAGTGGGTGAGAGCAGCACAGTACAGCTTACTACTGCATGTAATATAATGCAAGTGCAATCTAAATTTCTAAAATGTAATCTAATAAAATACCAGAAACTGCTGTTCAAAGGATAACCGTGAAGTTAAATCAACACCTCTGACTCAGTCTCAACAAATATCAAACATTATAGGTTTCGTAGATATAGTATTTATTACAGTGCTGTTGTGTTGCATCACATCATACTGGTGCTTCTATATTTAATACTTAGTCTAAAACTCAGCTATAGGGAGCAGAAAGGATTCTTGAGCACAGATATGATGTTGAAATGTCCTCAGTGGACAAGAGCTTGAGGGAGTATTATAAATAATTCATGTCTATACTAAATAGATTTAATTTGATACAATCTATTTTTCAGATATCATAAATTTTGACTTGTTTTGGTAGCGAGTCAATTAAAACGTGGTTGATTTGATGGAAGAGGAGCCGAGCTTCATTTTAACAACATCATTATCATTCATCATTCTGTTCACTGTTTATCATTCAACAGCCACTCTAAAGTGAGCAGTTATCATTTAAACATGTGCACCGGCCAATGTGCCAATCAAAGTTTAATCTTGAAGAGTCAGTGTTGATTGTTCTGACTTCCTGTTCCCTGAGGCCCCATCACAGATGAATGTGACAGACCCAGTTTGCAGCTATTTGGAGCTCTGGTCTGCACCAACAGAATCACATACACTTTTTGTTTAGTTTTCTCTCAAGGCTTTCTGCTGCTTTGTTGATGTTGGCAACTTCCTCATAGCGACTATTTAAAACAGATGTAATTATTATCTTCAGAAAGCAGGCTGAACCTTAATGTGGTCCATGACACATTGGTCACTGCACATATTATAGAAACTAGAGAAAACAAATGACTAACAGCAAATCTGTGTTTAAAATTTTTTTTTATCAAATCAAACTTCTTGTGATTTTGATCAAATATTGACTCTGCTGCTTTAATCAAATCTGCCATGTTTTAATCAAATCGTGTCTTCATCAAAACAAGTTAAAGTTCAAGGGAACATTTATCAGTTTAACTACACTTTCATCTTCTGTTTTTATTGTTTAATATTTGAGTTCCACCCTTGGGCTCACTTAAATCTAATTTCTGCTTGGCATCTGACTTTGAAGTTTTACATTCAAAATACCACTGCGGTGCACAGACACATCTCAAAAGTTTATGGCAAAGACTAAAAGAAAATACAGTAACGTATGCTGTCCCACTGATAACTGGCATAAAATCAATATTACATTAAACTTCCAGCGTATTCTAGCAGAGTATGACATTTACTTTAAAATATATACGTATATAATAGTGTTAAGACTTACTGTATCAGACCTATACCTTTCCTCATAACTGCAACTAGAGACAGTAGCTGACGTCTTATGTCAGCATAAAAGTGACACATGAAGTTGCTTTTGTCGTAATTTGTCTTCAACTTCTTGTCTAAGTTTTGGTTTAAAGAAAATCGTATATTGTTACATCCCTATGTACCATGCATTTGTGTTAACATTTACCTAATGTTTTGCCCCATTCTGGTATCTAAAGTACCTCTGTACTCAGTTACCACCTATATGGAGTGTTGAAACAACTGAAAGAGAAGATTATTCCTTTTGATGATGCTTAGCTTACAACAGGTGCGATAGAGTTTAGATTTGCCTTTGATGTGAGCTGCAGCTCTCAATTTATTCAATTCATCATGCATGTTTTGTTATAGACAACATTTTATATTTATACAAATCCCTTCCCTCCCTGGACTCCCATGTGTACAGCCAGCACTCCCACAACAGCCACTGTAGTTTTGCTTATGGCTCATTTCCTGCTTCAAGCATACAGCAGGAGGGCACAGTCACAGTAGGCTAATGGGTTTAACATGCTAATGTTGTGCTGCATTCATATGCTCTAGTGTGTGGTATAATTTAACATAGCAACAGAAAAGGTTACAGCCATTTGTATAATGAACTCTATTATCATGTTACCTATACAACCATATTATGATTCCTTTCCACAGGCAATACACATAATCATAGCCATGAGTGCTACATTACAGCTAACATGTTTCTCAGTAAAAGATGGCATTCACCTGCATCAGTCAATTAGCTTTGCATTTCCTCAGCTACCAATAACTTTGATACATTCTTCTCATTAAAACCAGATTACAAACAGAAAAAATCATTTGTATCACTGTGTCAGTTCACTGCTTCATAGCTCACATTCCTTCCACTGACATATGATTCTGTCTTAATAAAGGCATGCAGGAAAAGCGATACGTCTCTTCTGACCTGTTATTTGCCCGGAAGCGAATGCCAGAACATTACGTTTGTCCCCATGTGCATAGCACATACAAATTCAGAAATGATTAAGGTAAATTATTGAGTCACGCGTGAGTAGCAGGTTATTTCTGTTTACACAAACGAGAATGATTGTGTGTCTGTGTGTGTGTGTGTGTGTGTGTGCAATGTACACGTAGCACAAGGAGCTCCACAACATAATGAATACTTGGTGCACTTACACACCAACATTTACCAATGATTCATAAATCATTTATTTTGGGGTCAAGACTTTATTTTTCAAGACTTGTAGATAATGTTAAGACCAATCTGCACTGCTTACACATTTTAAAGGCAACTTAATTCCACTGGGTTTATGAGTTTATTGATCAATACATTATGTGGAACATATTTGTTCATACTGAACACATCTGCAAAACATTCTTTGTCAGTAACAAGTTTCCTTTGTTTAGAATATCAACTCTAAACAACTAAAGCATGATTAACTTTTTTGCGGTTATGTTTAAGAAAAGTCTAAAAAAAAA